GCAACCAAGGCCGCTCGCAAGAGTGCTCCAGCCACCGGTGGCGTGAAGAAGCCCCATCGCTATCGCCCAGGAACTGTGGCTCTGCGTGAGATCCGTCGGTACCAGAAGAGTACCGAGCTGCTGATCCGCAAGCTGCCTTTCCAGCGTCTGGTGCGTGAAATCGCTCAGGACTTCAAGACTGACCTGCGATTCCAGAGCTCTGCCGTAATGGCTCTGCAGGAAGCTAGCGAAGCCTATCTGGTTGGTCTCTTTGAAGACACCAACTTGTGTGCCATCCACGCCAAGCGAGTCACAATCATGCCCAAGGACATCCAGCTGGCCCGTCGCATCCGTGGCGAGCGTGCTAAGTTGCTTTTGACCTAGCAGCCAAGCGGCAATACATTTTGTACAAATCGGTCCTTTTCAGGACCACAAATATCTTTAAAACTGAGACTATAAATTTTCATATCTATAATTATTAACATTTTTTAAATAAAACATTCTCCTTGCGTTTTTCTGGTTAAATTTGTCAGAATGTATACATGGAAAATAAATACGTTCTTTAAATGTGTGTAGTGAGATACTTTTAGTAGGTATCGGTACAAAATTCGAAATACAAAGAATATTTTTAAAGTTATGTTAAAGACTTATTTATGAACCATTTGTATGGAAAGGTTTATTCAAACATAATCCAGTATATTTTTAATGCATAGTTTTTGAGATCGTAATGAAATGGGAATAAAAATGCTATACAAGCAATAAGGCAAATATTCTATTAACAAAATATATGTATATATAAGAGATAAAAAACTTTTTTGATACACCAGATACATTTACGATATTAAAAATTACGCTATTAATTAAAAATCTAAAAATTTCATTCTTAAATGTATTTAATTTCGTCTCTCCTTGGGTAATAGACTCGGGTAAACTCTAATATGAATGTTGTATGGGGGACGTAATAGGGCATTACTAAGAAACGAATCCATAAATTCCCTTCAAAACTTTATTGACTGAAAGAACTTACTTATTTTTTTAATAAAATCAACAAAAATTAATATATTTTAATATATTTATATTTTTTAGGTAGTTAAAACCATATCCGATAGTACCAAGAAAGTCGACCATATTTTAATGAGAGGACCAGTTTAAAAGTGGTCGTAAAATACTTTTTGTTGTAAAAATTGCAACTATTTTTATTGTTTCTTCAAGTAAAAGGTTCAAATTTTACGTTTTCTTAAAAATGTTTAGTATCTTTAAAATATTTAATATTTTTACACATGATTTTTAACGAAATGCTATGCCTACAAATTTAAATCTTGAACTTCAGACAGCCATACAAAATGACCCAAAGACTTATTTCACCTTTTAATAAATGTAACTGTTTTATGAAACATTTAAGAACTAAAAATATTTAAAACCTTGTATCATTTAATTACACAACACAGGTAAAAGGAGAAAATGAAATTGCACATCGAGCAAACATTGGGAGCGTAAACGAGCGCTGCCAAACACATAGTTAAAGTGCTCTCCTCCTCGATTCTCAAAAAACTTTCTTAAGCACTTCAGTATGCTGCAATTTCTATACAAACAAAAGTGTTTTTCGTTAGTTTTCGAAAAGAAATAGTGAAGCAAAATGTCGGACTCTGCAGTGGCAACATCCGCGTCCCAGTGGCTGCCCCACCAGCGCCAGTTGAGAAGAAGGTGGCCGCCAAAAAGGCATCTGGATCAGGAGCTACAAAGGCAAAGAAGGCTGCAGTCCCGCCATCACATCCGCCAACTCAGCAAATGGTGGACGCTTCCATCAAGAACTTGAAGGAACGTGGGGGCTCATCGCTTCTGGCAATCAAGAAATATATCACTGCCACCTACAAATGCGACGCCCAAAAACTGGCTCCATTCATCAAGAAGTACTTGAAGTCTGCAGTGGCCAATGGAAAGCTGATCCAAACAAAGGGAAAGGGTGCTTCTGGTTCCTTCAAACTGTCAGCCTCTGCCAAAAAGGAGCCCAAGCCAAAGGTTGCGGCTGCTGAGAAGAAGGTCAAAACCAAGAAGGTAGTCACCAAGAAAGCCGGGGCCACCGCAAAGAAAGCTGCCGGTGCTGCTGACAAGAAACCCAAGGCTAAGAAGGCCGTTGCCACCAAGAAGACTGCCGAGAAGAAGAAAACTGAGAAGGCAAAGGCCAAGGATGCTAAGAAAACTGGAGTTGTAAAGGCAAAGCCAGCAGCAGCGAAAGCTAAGCCGGCCGCCGCAAAGCCAAAGGCAGCCAAGGCACCAAAGGCCAAGGCAGCAGCGTCCGCCAAGCCCAAGAAGGCAGTAAAGAAAGCAACTGCTCCAGCTACCGCTAAGAAGCCGAAGGCCAAGACTACGGCGTCCAAGAAGTAAATTAAGATAATCTCTATTATCGCAATTTTAGATTTCGAATTCTGAAATTTGAAATTAATTTAAACAAGCCCTTTTCAGGGCTACAAAATCTTCTTAAAGAGACCAAAAATTATCAATGTTTTAAATATGGAGTGTTTAACTGTAGAGTAGATCCGCCTATACCAATTAAATCCTTTTTTAGGATTTGGTAATAGCATATCTCAGTGAAGTAGTCATTTCCGACCCTATAAATTATATATATTCTTGATCAGCATCAACAACTGAATCGATATAGCGTTGGTCGTGAGGAAAAAAAAATATTACTACATTTTTGGAACATTTTTTAAGGGGTTATATTATTGAAATTGCACATTTATTAACCCTATAAAACCGCAGAACAGCATTTTGTTTTAAAAATTTTACTTTTATTTATATATTAAATAAGAATAGGGCTCTTGAAAATTTCGTTTCTTTGGTAAAACTTGTTGTGGCCCTGAAAAGGGCCTTTTTAATGTTCCTCCGCATCTGCGAGAAAATTTACTTGGAGCTGGTGTACTTGGTGACAGCCTTGGTTCCCTCACTGACGGCGTGCTTAGCCAACTCTCCGGGCAGGAGCAGGCGAACAGCAGTTTGGATTTCCCGACTGGTGATGGTAGAGCGCTTGTTGTAGTGCGCCAGACGAGAAGCCTCGGCAGCAATACGCTCGAAGATGTCATTCACAAAGCTGTTCATGATGCTCATCGCTTTCGAGGAAATGCCAGTGTCGGGATGGACCTGCTTCAGGACCTTGTAAATGTAGATAGCATAGCTCTCCTTCCTCTTCCGCTTCTTCTTCTTGTCGTTCTTGGTGATGTTCTTCTGGGCCTTGCCAGCCTTCTTGGCTGCCTTTCCACTAGTTTTCGGCGGCATTATTTCACTTCACTTCACTGCACGATTCACTGATCATGGCAGTTCAGTTTTGGTGTTCGCTCTTATACTTTTATCAAGCAATGTTTTCAGGTCTGTGGCGACCCACCCCTTACTGAACGCACAGGCAGAGTCAAAAGTATAAATTCGTGAACATCGACCCTTCGAGCTACATTCGTTCTTCGTGTGTGTGAAGTGAATAAAGTGAAATAAGAGAAAATGTCTGGTCGTGGAAAAGGTGGCAAAGTGAAGGGAAAGGCAAAGTCCCGCTCCAACCGTGCCGGACTTCAGTTCCCTGTCGGCCGCATTCATCGTCTGCTCCGCAAGGGCAACTACGCCGAGCGCGTTGGTGCCGGCGCTCCAGTTTACCTGGCTGCCGTTATGGAATATCTGGCCGCTGAGGTTCTCGAGTTGGCTGGCAATGCTGCTCGTGACAACAAGAAGACTAGGATCATCCCGCGTCATCTGCAGCTGGCCATCCGCAACGACGAAGAGTTGAACAAGCTGCTCTCTGGCGTCACCATTGCCCAGGGAGGTGTCTTGCCCAACATCCAGGCTGTCCTGTTGCCCAAGAAGACCGAGAAGAAGGCTTAAGCGTTTTAACAGCGTGCCAAGTCAAACTTGTACATAGAAACACAAACTCAAACCCAAACGTCCTTTTCAGGACGACCAAACCATTTCAAAAGAAACTACAATTTTCAAATATGCTTAAGTTTAAAATAATTAATTCATAAACTATTAAATACATTTTTTATAGTTAAAGTAAGGTGGTCGGTATAAAGTGTAAAACGAAAATGGAGCAAAAATGCAGAAAGTACAGTCGTCAGGGGACAATTCCGGTGACAAACATTAGCATTAATTTTCTTGAAAATGTTGGGTACAGTTTGCATCTTAAAAACCGGGAATTCATTCCCATCGGGACTGTTTGAGCTACCTACGGCATGATTGCCTACCTACGAAAAGCCCGACCAATTAAAATGTATTAGGCGTTATTATTCGTCTGGAATAAATATGAAATATAGCAATGAAATTTGATTTGATAATTTTTCTCTTTTATGAAATTAAATGGTGGTCCTGAAAAGGACCGATTGTTGAGTACAGACTGTACTGATTTTTTAACCGCCGAAACCGTACAGGGTGCGGCCTTGCCTCTTCAGGGCGTACACGACGTCCATGGCTGTGACTGTCTTCCTCTTGGCGTGTTCAGTGTAGGTGACGGCATCACGGATCACGTTCTCCAGAAACACCTTCAGAACACCACGGGTTTCCTCGTAAATGAGTCCAGAGATACGCTTCACGCCGCCACGCCGAGCCAGACGTCGGATAGCTGGCTTTGTGATACCCTGGATGTTATCACGCAGCACTTTGCGATGACGCTTGGCGCCACCTTTTCCCAAGCCTTTGCCTCCTTTACCGCGACCAGTCATTTTTCACTCTTTTATTTTAACACTTCGAAAGTCACCACTGAACTAATGTAGAAACGCCGTCGCCGCTTCTATTTATACCAAAACTCAGCATTGCACGAGTGAGCCCGAACGATTGGCCATCTCGCTCTGTGCTCGAAAAATGAGATGGCATCTGCTGCGGCTCTCTTTTCAACCCTCCACGTTTTGCTATATAAGTAGGTAGCAACGGGTTGCTCGTTTATTGTGTTTTCAGACTCGTGAAGTGAACAGTGACAAGAAGTAATATCTAAAATGGCTCGTACCAAGCAGACCGCTCGCAAATCTACTGGTGGCAAGGCACCACGCAAACAACTGGCAACCAAGGCCGCTCGCAAGAGTGCTCCAGCCACCGGTGGCGTGAAGAAGCCCCATCGCTATCGCCCAGGAACTGTGGCTCTGCGTGAGATCCGTCGGTACCAGAAGAGTACCGAGCTGCTGATCCGCAAGCTGCCTTTCCAGCGTCTGGTGCGTGAAATCGCTCAGGACTTCAAGACTGACCTGCGATTCCAGAGCTCTGCCGTAATGGCTCTGCAGGAAGCTAGCGAAGCCTATCTGGTTGGTCTCTTTGAAGACACCAACTTGTGTGCCATCCACGCCAAGCGAGTCACAATCATGCCCAAGGACATCCAGCTGGCCCGTCGCATCCGTGGCGAGCGTGCTTAAGTTGCT